ACAACTTAAAATTAAAATTCTAAGTTTTTTTGTTCCATTTTTTTTACTTTTAAAAAATGTGTATTTTATATTGTTTGTTAATATTTGAGATTTGTTTATGTTTGTTTACTTATGTCAGTATAAAATATTAATGTCTCTACAAGAAAATATGGATATTGATATAGAAAAATAAATATTAAAATTGATTGAATCTTAAAAGGTGCTATAAAAACTTATTGAATCTAAAAAACGATCCTATTGATAATTTTTTTTAGTGGAAGTAAAAGTATATAAATGATGAAATAATAGAAAAAATTATAGGTACCAAAGTTTTAAATATTGATATTGATGGAAATATCGAGGTCTCTATTTTTTTGAAATATCAATTGAAATATATGAATAAAATGTCGATGTTGATGAATATTTTTAAAAAAGTTAGAAAAATTAAAAAAATCGTAAAAAAATGTTTCAATTAACAAATAAACATTTTTATATCCCTAAATAAGTTAAAAATAAGTAATATTAATTTAGTGATATTCTGTTGATATTTTTCATATTTTATCGTTTTTTTTTGTTGGTAATATGATGGAAATGTTGATTTACCCTTCATGTCAATGTCGAACTCATGAATACATGAAAATATCGATGTGCATATTGAAAATGAAGCATGTAATCAAACGAACTTCGACCGAAAAAAAACTATAGATCATATTAAGGCCTCACTTTTAAAATTTTGCCTAAGACCACATATATCTCGAGTGGTCCTATAAATGCTTAAACTACATATTAGCTATCCAAACTTATTTAAATGTAAAATATTTATAAACTTTTTATTTTGCTTATATGTTGGATTCAGCATTCAAATCTACCACTTTAGAAAGAATAGAGATATCTTATCTTAATTGATAGATTTAGTTTCACTTTAAAAACTTATTCTTTCAGCTAAGGTTGAATAATTTTTGCGCTAAATTGGGCTGTTTTGTGACATTGATCATTATTTTAAGTTTAGGATTTAATTTAACTAAAATTTATTTCAAAAAAAAATCAATTAATTACGATTTATAAAAAATAAATAAATAAATTTTCCAAGTTTCAAATAGATAGAACATTTACAAGGCACTCAAAGATTTAACCAAGGTTAATAATAAGTACCATTCTTCAAAAGGTTAAATATATCTATAATCCCTAATCTACTTCTTTTTGCTTAAAAAATTTCAATTTAATTTCTTATGTTTTAACATTAATTACATAATTTTGATTGGTAAAATCGAAAAAAGGTACGAGTGGTAAGATTTTTATTTTTTATTTTTGCTTTGTTTTTTAATATATTTATTTATAATATTCAATTATAGTTAGTTGAGACAAAGTAAAATTTATAATCAATATAACTATTAAAATTATTAATAATAATGTATTAAATTAATATAGAACTGTTAATGCTAATAAATTAAAAATAATTATTTCTTTTATTCAAACACGTACTTGATTTATTTTATTTATAAGAACATATTAAATTAATAAAATAAGTATTTCTTGAAAATATTAAGTAATTAATATATTAAAATAATTAGTTAAATCAATTTAGTACAAAGATTCATTTTTTTAGTAATTATACTTTTTTTTAGAGAATTTTAGTAATTATACTTGACTTTTCAATTGTGTTTAGAAAGGCCTTTTAAAGAATACATTTTATATATATAAAAAAAAAACTTGAAGAAATTATTAATTTCAAATGTATTTAGCAAAGTTCAAAAAATTGATGTGTCTCAATTTTATGGAAATGTCGAAAATATCAATAAAATGTCCAGGAATATTTTTGAAAAAATTCATAAAAAAAATGAAAAAAATGGATAAATAAGCATTTGTTATTTCACTAAATGAAAACTCTTATTATTAATCTTACTTCCACGTTATATTTATTTTATATTTTTGTTGATATTTTTATATTTGTCAAATTTTTGAAATTTTATGGATTAAAAATATTAATTAAAATATCATGGATGAAAATTCAATACTTTAGTATTGAGTAAAAACAACTTTTAATCTTAATTTTAAATAATTAAAAATGCTTTTAAAAATTTTACTAAAAACATTTAAAAGAAATAAAGATTTAAACATATTTTCTCAAGAAACATTCTGAGAGATGTTATGACTTTACGATGAATAACACTCTGGTACTTTTAAGCACTTCACAAATAATTATTAAAAAACCGAACTTAATGAGCTATCTATAATTAATTAATGGTTATAATATCATTTTAGTACCTGTACTTTGAAAATTTTTATTTTGGTTCCTGTACTTAAAAGACGATTATTTTAGTCTTTATTTACAAAATTTTAACACAAATTTTACACATGTTGAAAACTCTTTAGCATAAAATAATGCGTAATTTTAAGAAATATATTGATCTTAGTGTCGTGTTAAAATTGTGATAGAAAAAAATAGATTAAGAATAAAATTAAAGGATCAAAATGATCACTTTTTAAAAGTACAAGAAGAACATCTCGAAAATACATGGACTAAAATGGCGAACATTTTGAAAATATAGAGACTAAAATGAAACTACGTGACGAAACTAAAATTTTAACCTTAATTAATTTATACCCGCTGACTCAAATTAATTTTAACCAGTTCCTTAATTAATACATCATAATCATAATTAGATAAAGTGCTTATTCCATAAAACAAATACAAACAGTATTTAGAAAGAAGTGAATAGTAATGAAATCAAATATTAACAGATGATTTCATTTCACATAACAAGAATGTAATTACTTAGATGATTAATCATCTGTTCAAGTGATTTTAAACCAACATTTTTTTTTCTTTCGTTGTATTTGTCTCATACAAAAATAATTAGTTAAAAACAAATAATTTTCAGTAGAAAACGCCTCAAGGAGCACTACAACAAATATTAGTTTTAATGTCGGACAGAAAAAAAAATACGGAAGAAATCATGACGGACAAAAAAACACGAAGGAAACAATGACGGACAATTTAAAAAATGAAAAAAGAAAAGAAATTATATTTCCATGTCGGGCCTTGCTCGACATTGTAGATCATTATTTGGGCCCGCCAGCAAAAGTGGCCCAAATTTTAATTTTAACTCTAACACTAACTTTCCACCAAATTTTGTGGTCTTTATCTTTCACCTCATTGTCGTGTGAGATAGGTAGAATAGCGAGTCTGTTGGCGACAGTCGAAGTCCACAGCTTCGATCAATGGAGACAACAATAGAGGACGGGGAACTCCATGGCTTCGATTGACGACGACCTCCGTGGCTTTGATCGACGGCGGTATTCATCCCTTTGTGCAGTGGGTAAGTTTCTTATGAGTGTCAGAATACTCCAATTTATTGTTTATACAATCTCTATTGCTTCATAATTTGTACTGACAAAGGGCTGCAATTTGTCTAGGGTTTGGTCCACACCCACCAACTGTTTTCGATTGTTTTGCATCCCGTGTTCATATGGCCTTTTGAAATGGTGGGTTTCGTGGATACTGCTTTGTTTTTTTTTCTCTTTTGGCGGTAAAGGGTATTTTTGTGAGAAATGATTGAATTTTTTTTGGAGAAGCTGTGTTGTTATTTTCTGGTGGAAGTTGTAGTTAGGCTGGGTCGATTGGTAATAAAATCAAATAATACAAATTTGATTGTTTGCAAACTCGGACTCTGTGTTTTCACTTCCCATATATTTTTTTTAAGTATAAATATCATCATGTTGTTCACTCATTTGAGATACTTGCACCTAAGGCCAAGCATCACTGATTAGTGCAAGTTTGTAGGTTTGGAATAATTAGAACCATTTTCTGTGATTCTTTTTGTGACTCTCTTTGGTTTCTTTGGTTTGTGTTTTTGTATTACCGAAATCGTCCTTTTATTTTACTTCTCGAGTTTTATCTCTTACTAAACAATTGTATTTGGAGATGTCTTTGGATATGATTGTTTATATTAACTGGTCTCTAAATTTATGCCATATAATGTTGGTTTTTAATGGTCATGATGTTAGTTTTTCTTTCCATAGCATGTAAATTGTAATGTATGCCAATTTTTATATGTTAGTTTTATTTGCTTCTGGGTTTGTGATTTTTTCTGCCTTATCATTTCTTTATGTTGGGCAAAATTTGTTTATTTATGTTGTCTTTTCTTTTTCAAAAATAAAACCAATGGGTCTTAAAAGGTCATTTTGAAATGAATTTTGAACCAAATGGTTAGAATTTAGACAATAAAAAATATTTTAACCGGTTCTAAAAACACTTATAAAGTGTAGTGTATATATATATATATATATATATATATTCTAAAAAAAGGCTATGATCCCTTAATAATTATCAAAAGGGTTCTGCATTCTTTATTTCTGTCTGTTTTCTTTTAGTAGCTTTGTTTATAACCTTTAGTGCTTGATTCTCTCCTTTGTCGAGGGATTTAATACACCAAAGCTAGAATGTCAGCTATCCGTGCCACACGTGACTATGTTATTCATGAAGATTTCATGAAGTAACATTTTTTTTTTTACTCTTCATAGTCAAAATCTTTGCAAGCATGACATTTACTTCCTGATGATCGTTGCAATCTTCGAATATGTATGCAAAATTGTTCTCTTCCTGGTATCATTAGTTCTTATCTTATTACTATAGGAACTTGATGTACTTGATCATAGATGGGAGACAATGAATATTCTTGAAAATATGTCTATTATTCTTTTCTTGTTTATTTCCCTTTCTTTGCCCTGTTTTCTTGCTAATGTACTCGCATTGAAAAAGATATAAAGTTGAGATGTAATCTTATGATCTTCATTTACTTGTATTTGCTGCTTAGTTTACTGAATACACAATTCATTGCAACGTTTATGGCACTGTTCTTATTTGCAATATCATTGTACCCAAGATACAATCTAAACTTAAAAATTTGATCCAATTTTCCTTTTGTGATTCTTAGCTAAGACTACTTTTTCTTCAATGTAGATATGTTATTGAGTTCGAATCTAACCATTCCCACCATCTTGTAAAACCAGTAGGCACTCAGAATTACGTATTTTGTTATCAGTTATGAAAAGTAGGATTCAAATGATACTTTTTATGATGTAAAATCTTGGATATTACTTTTATTTCGAAAACATACCCCTTTTAATTTGCTTGTCCTTATCAATCAAATTAGTTAATTTTACTTTAAGGTTCTCTAGAGAAAGTAAACATTGGATTTTCAACAGAGCGACACCTTTGAAGATAACAAAATATCGGTTATACTCTCAATGGTTCAAAAGTAGCCCAACTCCCAAGTCTTGTACAATGTCATTGCTATCGAGGACCTTGCACACTTTTTGTGATTTGGTTGGCTATTCAATTTTCCATGTGGAGACAAATTATGGACCTTTATATTTGCAGAATTATCTACTATTTGATCAGGATATTGGGGTCGAAAATCTTCCAAAGCCAAAGAGCTGGGGTATTTTTCCTTTAGTTTATAATTGAAATGGAATGTATACTCACTCCTGTATCTTCATTTACCTCTTTTAAATTTTCATTTTCTCTCCCTTTTGTAGAACTGCTTTTCTTTCTCACTGAGGATGGTTTATTTGACATGATTTGTGCATCATCTTGCACTAAAGCTCTTCCAAGACAAGAAAAATTCACAGAGAAAGTACAAGCAAGCAGTACAAACAAAGAGTAAGTTTGCCTACTTATCTTATTGGAATACTGATGAAACTAGGACTGTTGTTGTCAAACTTTTGAGTGTGCCAATATTTTTGTTTGGGTTATCGTTGTCAGGTTGCAAATTGTTTATGCAATCATTTTATGATGTTGTTAAACTTAATCAAATTTTCATTGAAATCTTTTGAGTAACTCATAATTATTTTATTTTTCAAATGTTCTATATGTAATGTCCTCGTCAAGAGGGGTCTATAGAGTGCGGGTACTATGTGCAAAAATATATACGAGAAAATGTGCAGAACTCTAGTACTCCAATAAATGAATTGACGAGGTTAGAATAGAATGGGCAAGAAGATTTGTGTAGGCCTACTGATAGATTCACTCATTTTATTTATTTGATATAAGTATTTGGATCATGTTACTTTATGTAGTTTATCAGTATAATGGAAATACTTTGTGTTTATATTATTGTTGAATTGTTGTTGTTTGTGGAACAGTATCAGTATAATGAAAATATTTTTTTTTTATATATAAGGAATAAAATAGGATTCATTGGAAAGGAAAACTTACAAACTTGGAGGAGAAGTAAATGATTTATGGGAAATTGGTTGGAATAGGCATCCTCCCCAACCTTTTATGGTCATTATTTTCCTATTTTATTTTCTTGGCATTCTACGATTGTTTCTATCTCGAAATCTTCTCCTCTTTCTCCCTTTTTCGAGTTTTTCTTTGGTTTATTTTTTTTTCTTTTAAATTGAGATTCAAGGTAGGGTGAACAGAGATGTATTACGTTTCAATTTACAAGTAGACGAAGAACAACAATGAGAGAATCTAAAAGTAGTATTTTTGATGATATTATTTTTTGATATTATAGAAAAATTAATTTTGAGAAAAAAAGAATCTCAATATTAATTCAAATTCATTTCCGGAAATCTCTTCCCAATCTCATTAAATCTCTCCACGTAATTTTAATTATGAGTGAATTAAAAACCCTCGATTTTGCTTTCATCTCTTTCATCCCTAATTTAAATTTTAATCAAAAAAGTATTCAAATTTGAAATTTAATTCAAATTGTTTCCCGAAATCTCTCATCAATCTCCTTAATCTCTCAGTAGTTTTAATTATAATTAAATTTCAAATCCCCCATTTTGCTTTCCCATCTCTCATTCCTAATGTATCAATTTAAAATCTAATTAAAAAAGAAATTTCGAGAAACAAATTTGAACTAAATTTCAAATTTGATTACTTTCTTTTTGTAATTAGATTTTAAATTGATACTTTGATTTGATTAAATTTTAAATTAGGAATGATAGAGATGAAAGAAAAATGATGAGTTTTTAATTCAATCCTAATTAAAACTAGGTTGAGAGATTTAATGAGATTGAGAATAGATTTCGGGAAACAAATTTGGATTCCCACAATTCTCGCTCACCCTCGCTCTCTCTCCCTCTCTCTCGAGCGGGACTCCCTCTCTCTCGAGCGGGACTCCCTCTCGCTCACCTCTCCCTCGCTCACTCTCCTTCGTTGCTTTGATGCATCTGTCGTCAGCAATTACTAAAAGTCACGGGAATAATTGAGACCGTTGGTTTAAAAAAAACGGAGAGATTTAGGGTTTTTTTTAAAGTAAATTGCTTGTTGCGGTGAAGAAAAAATAGAGAAAGAGAGGGAAGAACGAAAAGAGAAATCCCAAGAAAATTTTAAGGAGAATGAAAAAAAAACTTTGCTGAAAAGAGAATAATGAAAAATGATAAGAAAACGTAGGAGAGAAAAAAAATATGGGAAAGGAGGGAGATGGAGGTAGAGAGAGGAAATAAGAGGAAATAAGGAGGGAAGTCTAAATTATTAGTGGAGGGGTAGCGATGGTCATTTGGGTATGGAGTTGATATCAACAAATATCGAATTTTAGGAAATCGTTCAATTAACACTTCTTCCTATTTCTCAATAATATCCAACGATCAAGACAATTCCCGCCAAACTCTGGCATAGAATCCTTGTTTTGTCGAATTTACCATGATTCATTGCAGTTAAAAAAATCAAACAATTAATGGGAATGGAACATAAGTTAAAATTCCACTCAGTATTATTTGATTTGATTTGAGTCCTTTAATTTTTTAAATATTTATTTTTGCCCACATATCGTATATCCGTCTTAGTCGACCGGATCGAGTGACTCTATGTGAACTAAAACTATATATATTAATGGATGATTTAATTTTTTAAGTAGACTAAAATAAACCGTTTGACAGTTCAATAATCAAAATAAAATAAACTTAAAAATTTATGAACTTATTGATTTAATAACGGAGATGAAATAATTTTTGAAATTTTGAAATTAAGGTATTATTTTAAAGAAAAAGAAGATATATAAGAAAGTACAATCCATATTAAAGAAAGCGATTTAAACTAAGTTGGCATATTACCAGTTTTGTAATTTATTTTGTCTTTTATTCTCAATAATTAGAGCATTTTTCAAATAATCATTTTCTGTGTTGTTATATGTTTATATTATTTCATTTGTCTGAATAAAAATTTGTTTAACTGAAAATAATAAAATATATTTAAACAACTATCTTTTTAAAGTTCATCTTTTCTTTTTCTTGAATAGCAAATAATAAAATATATCATTATATTTACTTTTTGGAGCTGGACTCATGGCTCAATAGTTGCGTGCATGTATGATGTATATCATACGGTTCCGTTTTGATTCTGACACTTACATTCTAAAGTTTTTTTAGTGCAAAAGTACGTGGAGTATTGAGTCTTAATATTTTAATCGAAGGTGTATGTAGTTGAACTATATTTAAGTTATTAATCGAACTTACAACCTCTTGGTTGAACATATTATACCAAGTTGAGTTATGATTGCTTTGACACCTCTTTCAAAAAATATATATATATATTTCTATCTAATAAATTTGTATAATAAATCATATTTCATTTAATAAATTCAGATAAAGTATTTACAAATATGAAATAATAATAAATATATAATTTTATAATTTTTGCTTTAATTTCTTCTTTAAATTTGATATTTTTTTCTTGGTGTCAATTTTCAAATAGAAAATAAAATTGACAAAAATATTTTAAAATTTTTGTAAACTATGTAAAAGAGTTAATTACGTAAAAAAGGTATTTTAATAATAAAAAAGATCTACTAAATATTTCCAGTTTTGTTTTGTTTCTTTTATATTTATAATAAACAATTCAGTAAATTTCTATTGAATAAGTTAATATCAGACTTAACAAATTAAATACACAAGGTTTGTTAGATCGAATATCAATATTATTTAGTTTAGATGTCAGTTCGCGACATATACTATGAACTTCAAATATCCACTTTCACACGTTGTTCACTTATATAAAAAATAATAATAATAATAATAATAATGTTACATAAATAAGTATATCTTCCATTAATGTGTTTAAAAATTATACTAATGCGCTAACATAAAATTTGACCAAACTTGAATNAAAACTATGCTCTATAACAATAATAACTAAAATCACATTAAAGTAAAAGTATTCTTAATATATTAGTTAAATTATAAAATTATAGATAATTTTCAAAACCCCGTTTTTTTTTTCCAATTTGGAAAAGATTACAGAATAAAATTTTGAAAACAAAACACAAAATCACTATCAGTTGAAGTAAAATTTCTTTCTTCAATAATTAAAACCAAGAAAATAATATCCTTCACACATTCTTGGCTTTTAAAACTGCCACACAAGTTGGTGTCCCAACACAATTCAGAACTCAGAAGGATACAAATATGGACTTCAACTATAAAAATTAATACAACTTGGTTGTTAACTGAAGTCTCTAAGCTTTCTACATACTGCAAATCCCAAGTTGAGATTTCGAACTCTTTAGAAAATATTAGTTTACATCGATACGTTGTCGACAATATGGACAATCTCCACAACTTCAAACCCATTGGTCCTAGCAAGCATGGTGAAATTTGTGTTCACAGGGCAGATGGATGAGTTTGTCTCCGTCTGTGAAACTCTATAGACATATACTACAATCTGTTGACGTTATCGTTGTCGGGTCATCGTCAATGATATGCTCTGTATTCATAAAAACCTCAAGTTGTAAGCGGTCGACTGCCTCCTGTGAGAGACCAGGGGGCCTCTTGCTGAGTTCAGGAACTAATGCAGCCTGTCAGCATCGACGAGGGAGATCCTTTGCGATTGACTTGTCGAGATTTCTGGATTCCCATCTGATGCTTCAGTAAGACCATTCCTGATCAATACCAGTTCGGTTAGTACAAAGCAGGAATCAGTTCCAGTTTCAACATGTAGTTTACATATACATATTTTCTTAAGAATGATAAATTCCAGCTTGAAACTGTACGACACTTTACGAGTATGGGGATTGCTGGATTGGGTCCTGTTTTCTGAGTTATACGATACAGCCAAATCCTCAGTGACAAAGAAAATCACATGAGTAGGTTCATACCACAGTTATGATTCAACTAAATTTAGAAAGATCCCACTGAGTCGATGAGGTGTCTATAGCTACAAAGCTTATATCTCTAGGAGAATCGACATGGAATGGGGCATTCGTATTGAAGTTCGAAAATTTTCTGTATAGCAACTGACCTGTTTGTCGGTAAAGAGGCACTTCTCAATCTCTCCAGAAGCCTTTCTCTAGCAAGTAAAACAGCTCCTGGCAATCTGGAATCCCCGCTTAACCCGGGCCTCGAGCTGTTCCGAATATGAATATTCGTATTAATACTATTTCTAGAACCAATACTTGTAACCGAGTCAGACTGAGCAGCCGATCGATCCTGAGCAAGCTACAATGAAGATACAGAGTGTTAACACTTAACATCTCCAAACTAATTGAACTCACTTTCAGACCAACATGAAAATCCAGAAAAAAAAAAAGTACAAAAACAACTTAAATTCGATCTAAGGAATGTCTCCATATGATCACACACCAATTTAATCATGGTTTCATAGCTAAGTAACATTAGAAAGCAAATAAAATTGGGAAAATTTTATTCTTCATCATCACTTTCAGTCTTCCAGTACCAAGTTATGCCATTATTAAACTTGAAGGATGCAAAATTTACCTGAATTATGCCATGCCCTGCTGCATTCTTTGCTAAGACCATTTCTTGGTTAGACGCTCTAGCAACCTAGATTCCTCGTCCTTAGTTACATGTGGGTCGAGATTGCATAGGTTGGAAACGAAACTACTCGCCTCCTCCCGACGGTTTAGTTTACAATACCAATCCACTAGAGAGTTGTATGTGTTCTGATTGGGTTTACATCCATT